GCTAGGAAAATAATTTACTCCTGTTTCTAAGCCAAGGTCTTATCCACACACACACACACACACACTCGTGATGCTTGAGATCATAAATGCATAATTTGGTTTTCACCTTCTTTGGTTGGAGGGGTGGGTATCGGTGGTATGGCAGGGGGAAAACAAAAATATCTCACTAGATACATATAGTATAATCTCCCTGTGACAACATTAAGATATTACATGTAGAAAAGAACAAGGGGATAGAAAAAAGTACACATTTGCAATTAAAAAGGAAAAAGAACCTACATATGAATCACTAAGAGGTACTGATAGAGTTCAAGATTTTGAAATAAGTCAGAGATCTTGGTTTGTGCTTGGGTCTGCGCTTATCAGTTAGTTGGTCATTAATCTCTCTGAAACAATTTCTTCAGTCACAAAACTGGACAATATATCCCACCTCACAGGGTTGCTGAGAGGGTTAAATGGGTAATGCATATTGTCTAGCCCAGTGGTTCTCAAACATGGCTACATGATAAATCCACCTGATAAGTTTTAGAAAACACTGAGGCCTAAAGGTCCCCCTCCCAGAAATTGATTTAATTGGCTTGGGGGAATTTTAAAATCTCCCCAAGTGATTCTAAAGTGCAGCCAAGTTTGAGAACCACTAGTCTACCATAATGCCTGACATATAATAGGTATTCAATTAGAGTTGACGATATACCTTCATAAGAACTTTGTAAATGCTGAAACACTGCCTAAAGGCTGCTACTTAGGTCAATCCATTTTGTATAAATTTAGGAAGGTCTCAGAATCACTGAATATAACAAATCTTAAAAGTAGTCTGAAAAGTTTTGTAATAACTTTTCCAAATCTAAACCCCCATAGTATTTTTGCTTCCTTTTATCAAATAAGGAAATTCCATACAAAAGAAAGGAAAGCCTAAATCTCCCTTGATATTTTCACTGAGGTATAATATAGAAAAATGTACAGATATAAGTGAGTACATTCTTTTTTGTTGTTGTTAAAGATTTTATTTATTTATTTATTTGACAGAGACATAGACAGCACAGATAGGCAGAGCAGCAGACAGAGGGAGAGGGAGAAGCAGGCTCCCCGCTGAGCAGGGAGCCCCATGTGATGCGGGGCTCTATCCCAGGACCCTGGGATCATGACCTGAGCTGAAGGCAGCTGCTTAACCGACTGAGCCACCCAGGTGCCCCTAAGTGAATACATTCTTCTTCATATATACACACTCAAGGAACTACCACACAAAGACAGACTAGGAAAATGTATCTATAAATTAAAAATTAAATATTTAATTTCTCATCTGTTCCATAATTGTTGCTGCAATTTCAGTTTGTCTCTGGGCTTTTCTAAATATCTAATGGGGATGTTTATTTTATGCAGTTAAGAAAGTCAAACATCAACAAAGGTAGGATAAGGAAAGCCTCCAGTAGAAATGTGCATTATCAAAGGAGGAGATAAAAAAATTCATCAAAATAAATGAGCAAAGTTGAAAAACAGACTTGAAAGCAATATAAACAATGAGTCACAAGACAGTCAACAACATTTATTGGGCACCCACTGTGTGCTCAGTGCTATAGAAAGAAACTGGGTAGATTAAAGAAATACCAGGAGGTCCTCAGATACCAGTAACTTAAAAATGAAATGAGTCCACCTGAGCAATTTCAAAGATAACCTAAAAGAACCTTACCAAAAAAAAAAAAAAAAAAAAAAACTAAATTAACTGAATGCGTATCTAGCTCCAAGAACTAAATTTATTTAGCAAACAATTTCCCTCAAAAACAAATTGAAACTCTAAATCCATGCCCCAGTGCTCACTTACTGCTCCATTTACTCTGTGCATAGATAGCCGTCTGCCTAGTTAGTAATAAATGTCAGGAGGAACCGGGCTCAGCATTATCTACTGAAAGCTTCCTTTGAACCTTGTTAATTGTTGCCTTGCAGGCAATGTATATGGGACAGTCAATGCAGTTTATGAAAATTAGTCTGAAAAGGTAATAAAAATGTGATTGACACTACAACCTAAAAATTCAAAAATGATTAACAAAAACATGGGGACAGAACTTTGCAACACCTCTTGGACCTCCTTTTTCTTTGCCACATAGAAATTAAGTATAAAAAACCCTATATATTTCTACTTTCTCAAAACAGGTTAAATGCTTACAAAAACTTAAAGAGTTACTGATTAAATTTAAGGTAAAAACTTATCAACAGATTGTTTCATCTTATTATGTCTCTGAAACAATAAAATAGAGAAATTTTCACCCCTAAAAGGAAGTTCAAGAGCTCTTAGTTGCAACCAAGATGTCCTCCAATAGGTAAACAGACAAAATATGGTACATCTGAAATATTATTCATCACTAAAAAGAAATGAAGTATTAAGCCGTGAAAAACCTTGGAAGACCCTTAAATGAGTATTCTAAGTGCAAGAAACCAGTCTGAAAAGGCTACATTGTATGATTCCAACTATATGACATTCTGGCACAACAATGGAGATAATAAAAAGATTAGTGGTTGTCAGGAGTTATGGGGTGAAGTCAGGGGGAGATGAATAGGTGAAGCACAGAGGATGTTTAGAGCAGTGAAAATACTCTAATGATAATGATG